GCCCTGCACGTGGCCACCACTGGCCACGTGTCGCCACTTGTCACGCCACGTGTACCCGTGGCGGCCTGGCCTGCGGCCAGGACGCCCCGCACGTGGCCGCCACTTGTCACCGCGGCGCCGCCCCCGTGCGCCAATGGCAACGCGGGAGCGCAAGGACATACAGACAGACACACAGACAACGATTTTAGTAGTTGTAGACAAAAAGTAGCAGTCCATTCAAGAGTACGAAACTTCTATTAATAGTGTGGTATCATTGCCAGGATGTGTACAGTACCAGACGGCGCCTGTTCATTACAGGCGCACGCCCACACGTGTGCATTACACGCGCACGCGGACGCTCACACGGGCATTACAGACGGACGCCTACACGTGTGCCTTACAGACGGAAGATCTACTGTATACATTACAGCCCGGAGGTTGTATATGACAAGGTACAGTAGTAATGGCACAGTACAGTGCATTACATAATAGAGTACAGTAGTACAGTAGGACGGACAATGTCCAAGACCCCGCGACCTCGCTTATTTAAGCGACGGCGCCGGGCAATGACAGTAAACAGTCAAGGATCTTTTGGGAACGGATTTCCTTCGACGGTGCGACACCGCGGGTCAAGACAAGCCTCTGACTTAGGCGACATTGTCGGCATCTGTCTTGCGACGTTTCCCTGGCTTCTATTGCCTTTACTTTACCTTTTCCATTCCTCCGTCTTTGCGACTACGCGGGTGAAGACTAGCCTCTAACCTCGGCGTGTTACTGTCGCTCGGCGTTCCAATTGTTTTCCTTTTTACTTTGTCGTTGCGACCACGCGGGCTAAGACTGGCCTCTAGCCTGGGCGTATTACTGTCGCACGACCTATTTCTCTCTCCCTGCATTGTGACGATTGTCAAGTCGCGGGCTACGACAAGCCTCTGGCCTTGGCGGCACTATTGACATCTGTCGCGCTCGTTCTCTCTAGGAGTTTCCGCTACTCGGCGCTCCACCCGTGTCTGACACTAGTCTTTAGGCTCGGGTTCACCCCTGTTTTTTGTGTTCTTACACCACCCCTTCCAGTTCTGGTCCCATTCCGGGTCCGCACTTCGACCAGTACGTCGTGCTTTTACAGTCGGCCGACGTACTTCCCCTTTGCTCTACCACAGTCCCGATCTACCGCGGGACACCCCCTATTGGTTGTTACCTCTTCCAGCGCTGCGAAGAAATTCTCGATGGAGGCCATGTCGGTGACATCCAGCACATGGGCGCGACAACTAGTTACGTAGAGCCGACATTTGACAATGATTTTGCGCGCCTCGGAGGCTCATCTGATTACAATACAAGAGGAAGAATACACAGGGATAACTTCTCCTTTCCTTGGGGTGGGTGAGAGGAAGAGGTATAGCGGAGGGTGCATGCGACGCAAACGCGCGGCGCGCGAATGTGCCGATACAGACGAGCTCGCGAAAAGGGAGTAATACACGTTTCCAGTTACATGCAGTCGCTCCTAGGTGCGTGTACGGAGGCGAACGGTGCCCGGTTTAGAATCCAGCGCGAATAAACAAGCAGACGATCTAGATAGGCGCTAAAGGGACGGGGACGAGCTTACCCCAGTTTGCTGTGCAGACAGGTGTCAGCGCTTTTCCCCTCAGAGGGACGCCTCGGACACCTATCCTACTACAGTACCTGCTGCTTAGTGCGTGCCGGGTACTGTACACTATTAAAATTCTATCTACGTAATTCCTACTACTACCGTACGGGTCTTAACACCACACTTGTGCCTTACAGTACACGCACACTTAGCTATAAACTACCGTGCGGACAACACGTGTGCTACCGTACACGCATACCACGACACGACCGATCGCGCGGACGACACGTGTGCTACTTACACGCGTAATACCTACGACCGATCTGCTCGCGCGCGTTCGCCACATGTGGGTGCCTCGCCGACATGTACACCGTGCACGGCCACCAGATTAATAACCTCGGCGCCCAACCTCCGCGCGCCGGTCATTATACTACGAATACTACGTGTGCCTAGTCACATGGAAGACAGTGACCTTAGATTCGAACAACGAGTTGCGAAACTTGAGGTTCCCGAGGAGGAGCTCAGACGACAAAGAAAGACAGATGACAAGGATAGTAGAGATCCATCAAAGGCATTCATGACAGGATCCATCAAGAACAGGCATCGAAATCTCATTTGTCATAGCTGTAAGAAGAAAGGACACATCAAACGAGACTGTTTCTTCAATCCAGAACCTTCCAACTACAAGCCTCATCTTACTAAAAGTAAGTCGGGGAATGAAGGGGACGTGGGTCACGTCCCAATCTATAGAATGGCGAAAAGGCACACATTGACGTCATAACCAAATCCACTGATACAGCGAGTCCGGGGACGAGTGATTCGGGCGATATCAGCAACAAATGGTTTTTGGGCAATTGCGCCTCTCAGCACATGTGTAATGATTTGTATTCGTCCCATTCTTTGGAACCCAACAATGGCTCGGGAAGAGGCAGTGATGTGGACATCGCTAAGAGTGACAGAAGCCCGTCAGCCGAAGGACGTTGTACAGTTATGTTGCAATGCAAATTTAGCCATAAGGGTAGCATAACGAAGTAATTTTTGAAAGACGTGGCGTACGTTGCAGACCTATGGACAAACTTAATTTCAGTGCCAATGGTGCAGAGGAATGGGATAAGTATCAAGTTTCCGGGAACTCGAACGAAGTGGATGTTCCAAGGGCCGACAGACGTTTATGAACGGTACAACCACGGCGCATAATATTGCGGAACTTTCCGGCGTAATTTCTGTCATATTTTCCTCACGCATACAGATCCACAGACTTCCGTTGAAACGTTTCAAAACCAAGTATGAAACTTCTCCTTAAAGAGTGGGGTACGTTAATTGCGGGACAATTTCTAAAATGATCCAACACCAAGTTGTAGACGGATTGGATGAACTCAAATCACAGAATGTCGTTCACAACATATGTCACGAGGGCAAGTCTGGAAACTTGACAGCCGCCCGTCATAAGCCGCAGATACTTTTAATCAATGGCAACGTCGGGGACCTCTTACATGCTGACTTGGTCGGACAAATCACACCTACATCTCTGGGAGGATCCTCATACATACCGGTCGTGTTGGATGATACCAGTGCTGCATCATATGTGGATTTCTTACGACAGAAGTACGACTGTGCCGCGTCACTCAAAAATATTATAATTAGCATCAGAAACCGTACGGACAGAATGATACTTAGCTTGAGAAGTGACCGTTGGGGCGTATCATTCATAAATGAATGATGCGCTCCAGGGCTTCTTTGGTGAACGTGGTATTAGCCATGAATTTACAGCGCCGTACTCTCCCGAATCAAACGCCAAGGCGCAAAGGCTCAACAGAACCATACAACGGGCAAGAACTGTGCTGGCCGAGTTGGAGGAAATCAATGGTGTCGTGTATAAGGAACTATGGGCTGAAGCTGTACACAACGCAAAATTCATTCGAAACCGGGTCTGAATAAGGGAACAGCTAATCATTTTGGATCTACATTGCCTTATGAGGTTCTCTTCGATCGAAAGCCGAATATCGGCGTTGTGAGAATATTTGGTACGAACATCCACTTTCTTCGTCCACCACCGCAGAAGAGTGACAAGTTTGATTACAAGACACGGAAAGGGATACATGTTGGTTATAGCTCAGGAAACGCATATCGCGTATATTTACCAGATGAAAACAAGATCATGGCGTCTAGATATATCACATTTAATAAAGCAATTGTCAGAGTTGATGCCGAAAGTTCCACTGCTGTTAATATTGAGTCAATCGTTGTCGGTATCGTGGCACCAATGGTCGGAATAACATAAATACCTTCATTGCACGAGACATTGGGTCAGAAGATTCCCACAATGGGCTATCGCAAAACGATGAAAATAGACAACAAAACATAACGGATGGCTA